AAGTTGCTGTGTCTTTTTATACAGCGTATGTAAACTTCTGGTTTCTACAGGTCAGTCGGCCCTCAGAAAACAGGTCAATGTTCTAAATTTAATCGGTGATGTGACTGGCTTTGCTTTATTATTATCACAGAAGAAAATCCAGAAAATGTGAAAGCTGCAAATCCGGGATCCACAGCTGTTCTGTTCCTCCTTAGTCCACAGCTACACGCCTGACGTACCTCAGCGCTGATGAGTTCTGTAGGATTTGAGGAAGAACCGATCAGGCTGCTCTGATGAATTCTCTGTTTTGTTTTTTTACATTTCTTCCCAGGTTACTCTGAGGACGGTGGAGCAAAGAAAGGAGAGGTCATTCCAGAGCACGAGTTTGCCGCCGGACCCATTTGTCTGGACGACGAGAACGAGTTTCCTCCTGTGAGCATCCAGAAGAGCTAAATGTCAGTCGTAGCTGCCGTAACCTGCATGACAAACATTCATGCGAACTTAAAACGACTGAGGTTGGAAGTTAGGTGGTGCTCTGGTGCAGTTCAGAACCCTGGGATGGTCAGAAAGTTCAGCTCAACCGAGGACAAAGTTGGCTGAACATCTACTGCAGTCGGTCCATTAGCAGCTATCAGAGTGGGAACATTAGCTTGGCTGTGGAGAAATTCGGCATTAATCAGAGTTATTAAAACACTGGTCAGAACAATGAGTCTGAGTGTTACGGCCACAGCGGCGATGGGAACATCGGTCTACAACTGTAAAAAAAACAACATATTGTAAACAACTTTTAAAAAGGGGGAAGTAATCTGTGGCTGTCTGTGTTTTGCAAATTTTGCAGTAATCATTTAAGTTTTTTTTCCTCTCTTAGTCCCACTGAGGTTATCTGACTCCTGGTCGTGGATCTAACGGTGCGTTTGTGTGTTTTCGGCAGATCAATTGGTGCCGTAACGGGACTGGAGGCGTCCAGGTGAGGCGCTCCTGAGCAGGCAGAAGAACAGAAGGACAAGCAGACGCCAGCAAGCAAGTGATGAACCACAACAAACATTTCAGGGTGCCAAGATATTTGTCATTCACAGGAGCAGGACAAAAACTAACTTCCATTAACGTTCAAGCTGATGTGGGGACAGAAAACACTGAAAGGAGTGGGTTCAGACAGAACACCTGTGCTAAAGGTACATCCAGCAGCTGTAAACTTCCTCTCAGCTCATCCTGGAGTTTCAAAATAAAGTTGTTGTTGNGAAGCAGCTGAAGTCTGAACTGGATTTGATGTTTCAGGATCCAGAAGCTTCCACGGCTGCTGGTGGCCACAGCCGAGGGCCAGCTGTTCATCTACAACGTGGATCCGCTTCACGGAGGCGAGTGCATGCTGGCTTTCAAACACAGGTGAGGCTGCTGCCGGTGTCATAAGGGTTGGACGGATGTTTAACAGGAAAGCGGGAGGAGGTCATTCCCTCGAATTTAGAGAAGACAACTTCACAAATATTTAGCAAATTAGATTTAAATTCACGGGTTTCTCGTGTGACTCATCGCAGGATTAAAAATGCTCCGTCTTTTGAGAGTCTAAGCACCTGCATAGAGCCTAAAGGAATGCTGTAAAACTTCGCAGATACTCACAGAAGAATTTACGAGCTTTGAAAGACTCTAAACAAGTGTGAAGTTGAGTCACAGCTTTTTTTCTTTTACGTCCTTTCCCAGGCTCTTTGGAGCCGACGACGACGAGCAGAGCGAAGGAGCAGAGCCTGAAAGGTCGGAGGTCACGGCTCAGTCATGTCCATCCTACGCTCAAACCGCTGCTTTACCACCGTCTGCTCCTGTTACTGCAACCCTCACTGGTCAGTGTCTGTGAAGTTCAGCTCGTACAGATGTGGGAGTTCCTGAACAGCTGTTTGTAGCACACAACAGATTCATGTGTGTAGCAGATCAAAGACAGACATGGCAGCATATAGGGGAGTCTCACTGGTGACTGCTGGTAGATCATTTTACCATGTTAGACCTACAGTCAAATGTATTCACACCCTTCCATTAAAGAAAAGGCAAAATCCACAACAGTCACTCAAATAGCTAGAAAGTGAAAAAGTAATAATAAATAAAAATTTGCTAAATTATAATTTAGTGAAATAAGACTTTGCTTTTGAATTGTGGTTGAAAAGAATTATTAAAAAAAAAAACTGTCCCGGACAAATTAGAGCACAAAATACCTGTCAACAGGTGCAGAAGTGTGATTGAGAGTTTTTTTTTTAATATTTCTGTTGAACCACAATTCAAAAGCAATGTCATGATTTTCATTACATTTTTATTTATTATTACTTTTGTCAGTTTCAACTTATTTCAGTGACAGCTCTTTGTTTTCCTTCATGGGAGGGTAGGAATACATTAGAGGACGACAGTTGAAACCAGAAGTTTACATACACTGTATAAAAAGACATATAACCTTTTTTTCTCGCTGTCTGACAATAATCGGACTAAGTTTTTCCTGTTTTAGGTCAGTTAGGATTACCAAAATTATTTTTATTTGCTAATAATGAGAGAGAGAATATTTT